CATGATAGTAATCATAATAGCTATAGTGTCCTGAGTCGCTGTGTATGTGTCAGACCCTCTGCCACGTGATTCGTTACTACATCACCTTTAATCTTTATCCCCATTTTACAGAAACGAGAATAGAAATGCAGAGTTTATGAAATTTGTGCAGGGTCCTATGTGGAGTGTCAAGCCTGGGATTTAAATTGTCTGCTTTTTGGGTGTTGGTTTGTTAGTTTGTTTGGTCCACACTGACTCTTGTTACTGTCACCATATACCCATGATGTTTCCCAAACTGTACTTGGCTTCCTCAAAGGGCTGTGCCTCTCAACTTCAGTCCACGACACCTCTATTCTACTTGTCCCGCATGTCTGAAAGACGGGAACCCCACCCCCTTCTCCATCAAGCCTCTGTATCTGGTTAGCCAGTAGGTTTTTGGTTTTTTCCCCCTGTTCCCCTTACCCTGGCCGGCACCTCCACTGACTTAGGCCTGGACTTGTTGATTTCAGGATTTGTTCCGCTGCCCTAGCCTTGAGAGGTGAGGGCCACACAACACGCTTGGATGGACTTCAGTAGATTTTGATAAACCATTCTTAAGTTTTCTAAGAAGTAAAGCACAATCATTCGTTAGTTCTGTGGCTGTTTGTCAGTGGTAGAAACTCAGAATGGTCTAACTGCAGCGGTACAGATAAGTGAGTTGCTGTGATTAAACCTTTTTCTCCCTGGGGAAAGTGTGTTGGGAGACAGCTACTCTGTTCTGTTTTTAAAAGTAAAGCCATTTTCTTTAACAAATGGGACAGTTGGATATCCACATGCAAACAAATGAAGTTGGACACCCTTATATGATATACAAAAATGAACTGAGAATGGATCAATGACCTAAATACAAGAGCTGAACCTGTAAAACTCTTAAAACATACAAGTAAATCTTTATAAACTTCGATTTGGCCGTGGAATTCTTCTTACACCAGAAGCATGACCAACAAAATAAACAGATAAAGTGGACTTCATCTAAAGTAAAAGCTTTTGTGCATCCATGGACATTGTCAAGTAAGGAAAAGGACAGCCTACAGAAAGGGGGGAAATGTTTGCAATCATATATTTGGTAAGGGTTTAGTATCCAGAATATAGAAAGAAGTCTTATAACTCAAAACAAAAAGACATTACTTTTTAAAAATCTACTTATTTTAAATAAGAGTGAGTGAAAGAGAGTGAGCACATGAGCAGGGACGGGCAGAAAGAGAGGGAGAGAGAAAATCCCAAGCAGGCCCTGCACCGTCAGCACACATCCCAACACGGGGCTCGAGCTCACGAACCATGAGATCATGGCCTGAGCCGAAATCAAGAGTTGGACACTTAACCAGTTGAGCCACCCAGGTGCCCCAAAAAGACATTTCTTGAAAGAAGATATACAGACAGCAAACAAGCACGTGAATGGATGCTCAGCATCATTAGTCATTAGAGAAATGCAAGTCAAAACCACAATGAGCTGCCACTTTACATCCACTGGGATGGCTATCATCTAAAAAACTTAAAGGAAAATAAGTGCGTTGAGGATGTGGAGACATTGCAACCCTCATACACTGCTGGTGGGGGTGTAAAATGGCACAACTAAAACATTTTTTTGGAAAGGGCCACCTGGGTGGCCCAGTTGTTTGAGTGTCTGACTCTTGATTTAGGCCCAGGTCATGATCTCAGGGTCATGGGATTGAGCCCCGCACCAGGCCCCACGCTGAGCATGGATCCCGTCCCAGATTCTCTTTCTTTATCCCTCTGCCACTCTCCCCTGCTCATGCATGCTCTCTCTCCCCAAAATTAAAAATAAAAAATTTAAGAAAAATAAAATGGCACAGCTGGCGTGGGAAACAGCAAACATAGAATTACCATTATAGCCATTATTCCACTCCTGTGTACATAGCCCAAAGGACTGAAAACAAGTCCCCAAATGAATATATTTATGTACATATGTGTGTATAGCAGCACTAAATCACAATAATCAAAAGGTTGAAACAGCCGAAATGTCTGTTGTGGAGAGATAAACAAATGGTGGTGCGTCTATACCGTGGAATATTATTCAACCATGAAAAGGAATACAGTGCAGATACAAGGTATAATATGGATGGACTTTGAGGACATTATGCTAAGTGTGTCATATATTGCATGGTTCCATTTATGTAACATATCCACAATAGGTAAATGCATAGAGAGAGAGCAGGTTGGTGGCTGCTAGGAGTCGGGTGGAGGGGAGAATGGGGAATGATTGCTTGATGAATATGGATTTCCTTTTGGAGGTGATGAAAAATATTTTGGAACTAGACAGAGATAGATGTAGCCAGGATCACTAGCTGGCTTCTGATGACAGTCTCTTCTTTGCTGAGGTCAGGACCCCATGGCCGGCGATTTCTAACTCTGATGCCTTCACGGGTCCAATCTATGGGGATCTGTGTCTGAGGTCAGCCGGATAGAAGTCAGCAGGGAGTGGTGGGGATTAGGTGGAACTAGGCTGGACCTGCACTGTCTAAAGGCATTCGTATTCAGGGAGACCTTCCCTGGGTGGATTCTTGCCCCATCTCCATCATTCTGCCATCCCTCTCGAGCCATCTGGCAGGCTAATGTATTTAAACATCTTTGCCGTACCATTCATTCTCTCTAAACCCATGTCCTGTAACAGAACCTAAACTTCTTTGTTCCCCCTTCCAGTCTAGGATCTGCGGAAGGTCAGCTGGTTCTAGATGCATCATCAAACTGTTACCCTCCTCCCACTCCCCCTGTCCCAGCACCTGGAGTTTGGGTGATAAGACTAAATCCCATTGGCTATGTAAGGGGATGGGCTCACTCGGAATCTTTGGTTTAAGGGTGGCTTAGAGAGAGAGGGTCAGCAGCTGGTGGCTGCCTCTAATCGGGGAATGGTGGGTTTCTTTAGTGTCACTGGCCCAGCAATTTGAGGGCATATTTGTTATATCTGCCGGCAGAGAAGGGGAGAGGGGCACAGAAGAATCTGGAAAGATGTTTGTTATTCGAGGAGATGGAGAAAGTTTTTTTAAAATCTGTCCAAGCATTTAGAGACTTGGATCCATTCAGCTCAGAGTGGGGAGGGGTGTGTCAGGGGAGTCCGGGAGAGGGTGTGGAGGAAGGAGACCTAGTCCATTAGATCTAGGGTGGGGCCAGCACTGTTTTCTTTTGTGCTTCCAGCTCTATAGCTGCTTGTAATCCCCTCTTCACTGCTGATTTTCTGAGAAGCACTTAGGACAGAAAGATCTTTGTCCTTCCAGTAGGTAACAATAGGTAACCATCCTTCCAATAGGTAACAATCCAGTGGGCATTTGCAGGCTGGGGGCAGGATGAGAAAAGCATAGCTGTGTGACTTGAAGGAACTGCCTAAGGCTCTTGTGCCCTAAAAAGCACCCCTAAACCCCTCCATGGTACCCAGAGTACCACCATCACACATCGCTTTATTGAAGGAGTTTGCCTCTCAGAGGTAAAGGTAAAGCCTTCTGAAGAGGCCCTCAGCGAGGGTCACTGGAAAGTCAACCCTGGGAGGGTGTGACCCAGCACAGTAGGGCTCAGAACTGGTTTTTTTCATTGTTTACCTAGACAGAGTGGTTGGAGGAACCGAGTCAACTTTTTTGTTACTCTGTCTTCAGTGGATTCCTTTCCCTCCCCTTCCCATTTGGACTTGGAGAGCAGGGATGGGGAGAGACTCTTCCTACCTTCTCTGAAGTCCTGAGTATAAAGCTCTGAATCCCAGGTGTTCAGCGTCCGGCCCGGGAGAGGTTGTGCTTTCATGAGGCCTTCAGAACCTTCCTGCTTGTGGAAATGGAGGCCTGGCTCGCACGTACCCTCTGCCCGCTCAGAGCTTCTCGGCTTGGCATACAGCACTTCAGTCACTTAGCGTGTTTGCTCTTTTTTTGTTTTTTAATTTATTTTTGAGAGAGAGAGAAATTGCAAGTGAGGGAAGGGCAGAGAGAGAGACACACAGAATCGGAACCAGGCTCCAGGCTCCAGGCTCCCAGCTGTCAGCACAGAGCCCGATGGGGAGCTCGAACTCACGAACCGCGAGATCGTGACCTGAGCCCCTTACCCACCTGAGCCACCCAGGTGCCCCTTAGCGTGTTTGCCCTTTTTAGGAAGATTGACTCCTGCAAGGGGATGCAGACAGCTGGAGCTGTCATGTAGGTGAGGTAGCCGCCTCAGCTACTGTGCTAGGAGAGCCCAGATGGCTCCACACTGTGGTGCTTTGGTGTTAGAACTTGGGAGACAGGCCCAGAGTATTATTGATTCAGTGAACTAGTTTTTTCCTCCTGGGTCATACACACAGAGAGATTCATGGTTGTGAACATACATGTATCCTCTGACTTTTCAATTTGTCAGGCAGTTCTCGGTGGCTGGGGGTGGGGGAGGGAATTCCTGGATCAAAGGAAAATCTCTGTGCCCGAGAGACAGCTTTCTTACAAACTTAACTTGGGAGAGGTTCATGGGAACTGTGCAGGCACTGCCTGGAACCTTGAAAATCCATTCCTCGCGCCTCCAAAATGCACCCCATTCCTTGTGGTCTGAGAGTGGTTATGGCCCAGGGGTGCCTGGCCAGATAGGAAGCCCAAGGAGCCTCTCCTCAGAAGGGTCAGCTGTGACATCACGGGTCCCTCCATAGGGCGTGAATGGGCTATGTGCTGTGAAGGTTAAGAGGGAAGGCTTTTGAGTCGGGCTGCCTGTGTCAGTCCTGGCTTATTAGTTGATTTTTTATGTCAGTTTCCTCATCTTGTAAAAAGGATATGGCACTGGTACCTACCTCATAAGGTTGTTGTGAGTTAATGATAATGCCTATAAAGGGCTTGCCACGAAAATGGATGCATCGTAGGTGCATCTTACCAAAAATGATGGCTCCTACCATCAGTCCACCGTAGCTGCACAGTGGAGCCTAGAGGAGAGGGTAGGAATCTGGCAGGAGGGCTCTGTGGTTGGTGGTTTCCCTGTGATCAATGCAGACTTTCTGGTTTCTTCTATGTTCCTTTTCTTCCCAGTACTGATCCTCCAGAAGGTGGAGAATGGAGACCTGAGCAACAAGATTCTGAAGATCACTGATTTTGGCCTGGCTCGAGAATGGCACCGAACCACAAAGATGAGCGCAGCAGGGACATATGCTTGGATGGCACCCGAAGTCATCCGTGCCTCCATGTTTTCCAAAGGCAGTGATGTGTGGAGGTAAGGTCCAAAGGGTCAGGGGCAGTGCCGCCCTGGTCTCTTTTGGCTGCACACGTGTTTCAGGACTTGGAGAACTGAGGATGCGTAGACTCCCGGACACCCCAAGTAGGTCTAAGTGACCCCTTCACAGCAACCTGTAGTAACTCCCAGGTTGCCATGGGACAGTTTCTAACGCCTTCATCTATCCAAAATTCCTTTAGTGCTGTGGCAGGTACCGCCTCTATGTGTGAGTGATTGCTCCGTAGGAAAGACCAGTAGATCCCAGGGGCAGTGTGTACTCCCATCTCTGACTGTAGGGTGGTGAGGGCACCCAGGCATTCCTGGGGACTGACCTTCCACGGGGTCCCCCGGCTTCCTTAGCAACCGCGGCTGTTATTGCTGGACTTGTTCTCACTCTAAGCTCTTCAGCTGATGAGTATTCTTTGTGCTATCTCTGTTGTTTTGGTGGGTTGGAAATTATGCTTTCTAGTTATATGGTTAACCTTTTAGTCAGGGCACTATCTGTTGAACATTGATACAGAAATGGGAAAAGATGGGTCTCAAGCATGTACTGAGAACTGCAGAGTCACAGATTAGACTGGCCGTTCCCCTAGTAAATGTCAGCCTAAGAGGTCATAGGGACATGGATCTAAAAATCTAATCCCCACGGATGGGAGGAAGAGCTTGTGCAGAGGGTGCATCCTCCTGGCTGTGAGAAGTAGCATCACCTTGGTACACCAAAAGAAAGGGCCATGGTTATCATCGGACTTCAGTCTATGAAGTTGTGTCTTCCTGGTGAGTTGTAAAGTGAGCTTGTGTGTGTATATGACGAATGTGTGTATTAAAAAAAAAAAAAAACAGCTTTATTGAGATATACACGTATTACGAAGTTCACCCTTCAAAATGTAGAAGTCGATGGTTTACAGTAAATTTACCAACTTTGTACCACTCGGCATTGTTACCAGCTTGCTAAGGCTGCTGTAACAAACTACCGCAGGCCTGGTGGCTTTAAACAATAGACCTTTATAGTGTGGAGGCCAGAAGTCTGAAATCAGTACTAACAGGGCTATGCCCCCTCTGAGACTTTGGGGGGGATTCTGTTCCACATAAGGGTTTTGGATATTAGGACATGGATGTATCTTTTTAGGGCTACCATTCAAACCACTACAACTGCTATCTGTTTCCAGAATTATTTTTCTCATCCCAAAAAGAAACCCAATACCTGTTGGTAGTCATTCCCCAATCCTGCCTCCCCCTGTCCCCAGCAACTACTAATTTACTTTCTGTCTCTATGGATTTGCCTATTCCAGGCATTTCTTATATATGGAATCAATACAACATGTGGTCTTTTTACTGGCTGCTTTCATTTATCATGTTTTCAAGGTTCATCCATGTAGCATGGATGAGTCAGAACTTCATTCCTCTTTACACCTGAATAATATTCCATCCTATGGAAATTTATTTATCCATTTATAAGTTGATGAACATTTGAGTTGTTTCCACTTTTTGGCAGTTGTGAATAATACTGTTGTGGACATTTTTGTGCAAGCTTTTGTGTGAACATAGATTAACATAGATTTTCAGTTCCCCTAAGTATATACCTGGAAGTGGATTTGCTAAGTTATATGGTTATTCTGTGTTTAATTTTTTGAGGAACGACCGAACTATTTTTTTTTTTTACCATAGCTGCACCATTTTCCATTTCCATTAGCAATGTAGGAGGGTTCCAATTTCTCTACATTGTCTCAATACTTGTTATTATATGTCTTCTTAATTATTGCTATCCAGTTAGATATGAAGTGGTATCTCATTGTAATTTTGATTTTATTCTCTAATGACTCCTGATGTTGAGCATCTTTTCATGTGTTTATTGGCCATTTGTATATCTTTTCTGGATAAATGCCTATTCAAATCCTTTGCTAGTTTTGAAACTGGGTTGGTTATCTGTCTTTTTTTTAAGTTGAAAGAGTTCTTTATATATTTTTAATATAAGTCCTTTATCAGGTGCATGATTTGCAAATATTTTCTCCCATTCTATGGGTTTCTTTTTTCTTGTTTTTTTCTTTTCTTTTTCTTTTTCTTTTTCTTTTCTTTTTTTTTTTTTTAGTGAGGGGCAAAGAGAGAGAGAGGAATCCTAGGAGGGGCAGAAGTAGAGGTAGAGAGAGAGAGAGAGGCAACGCTCACCCAAAGTGGGGTTCGTGCTCACTAGAAGCGGGACTTGAGCTCACCCCAAGTGGGATTCCAACTGACAAACCATGGGATCATGACCTGAGTTGAAGTCAGATGCTTAATGACTGAGCTACCCAGCTGCCCTCTTTTTACTTTCTTGATGGTATTCTTTGAAACAGAAACATTTTTAATTTTGATGAGGTCCAATTTATCTATTTTTTTATTTGATTGCTTGTGCTTTGAGTGCTTATGCTTAGGCTTTTGGTGTCATAGTTAAGAAACCATCCCCAAGTTTTATGAATATCTATACCCATGTTCTAAGAGTTATAAAACTCTTAGCTTTTACATTTAGGTCTGTGTTCCATTTTGACTTAATTTTTGTATGTGGTGTGAGGTAAGGGGTTTAACTTCATTCTTTTGCCTGTGACTACAGTAGTCACTCCTTATCAGTGGTTTCACTTTTTTATGGTTTCATTTACCCATGGTCAACCATAGTCTGGAAGGTCAGACCTATCATCAGAAGGTCAGTATTACCTAACGCTGGGTCACAATGCCTACATCATTCATCTCACTTCATCTCATCACGTAGGCTTTTTATCATCTCACATCATCACAAGGGTGAGTATAGAATGATAAGATTTTGAAAGAAAGAGCATATTTGTATAACTTTTATTATAATATAATTATTCCATTTTATTGTTCATCTCTTACTATGCTTAATTTATAAATTAAACTTTATCATATTTATGTGTGTATAGGAAAAAACATCTATAGGGTTCTGTACCACCTGCAATTTCAGGCATCCACTGGGGGTCTTGGAACATATCTCCCATGGATAAAGGGGGGACTACTGTATCTAGCCCCATTTGTTGAAAAGGCTGTTCTTTTCTAATTGTCACCCTTGTCAAAAAGTAATTTATCACAGATGGAAGGTTTTATTTCTAGACTGTCAATTATATTTCATTGGTCTATGTGTGTATCCTTATGCCAGTACGACTCTTTTGTTTTAATCAGTCTTTCTTCCTTTCTCTTTCTTTCTTTCTTTCTTTCTTTCTTTCTTTCTTTCTTTCCTTCTTTCTTTCTTTCTCTCTTTCTCTCTTTCAACATAAGCAGGGACGAGCAGAGGGAGGCAGGGGAGGAGACAGAATCCAAGGCAGGCTCTGAGCTGTCAGCACAGAGCCTGACAAATGAAGGGCTTGAACTTACAAACCATGATTTCATGACCTGAGCCAAAGTTGGATGCTTAACCAACTGAGCCACCCAAGCACCCCAGTACCATTCTGTTTTAATTACTGTAGCTTTGTACTAAGTTTTGAAATTAGGACATGTGAGTCCTCCAGCTTTGCTATTCTTCAAGATTATTTTGGCCATTCTGTGTGCCTTGCGTTTCCAAATGAATTTTAGGAGCACTTTGTCAATTTCTCCAAAATAGGCAACTGAGATTTTGATGGGAATTGTGTTAAACCTGTAGGTCACTTTGGGAACTGTTGCTAGCTTAACAACATTAAGTCTTCCAATCCATGAACATGAGATATATTCCTATTCACGTAGACCTTTTCTAATTTCTTTTAGTGATGTTTTGTAGCTTCTGTATATTGCATCGTATATCCCCAAGCATTAATTATAGGGTGAAGTGACTATCATGCAGAAAAGAGTTTTCTTCCCTTAAAATATCTGGCCAGATTTCATCAGTGTGAACTGTGTAGTGATATTCCAATGTTTTTGACCTACAAAAACAGCAATTTCATAGGCTTCAATCTAACGCTTTCATTACTTGACTATAGGCTAAATGAGAATAGCTAATATATTAATTAGGCTAAGCTACTATTACAAAGAGACCTATAGATGCAGTGGCTTAAATAAAGTAGTACTCAAAGAGTAGTCCAGCCAGTCCAGGCTGTGGGGTAGCTGTGCCCCGTGAGATCCTTCAGAAACCCAGGTTCTTTCCGGGTCCCTCAGTGCATTGTTCTTATCTAAATAGTTACATCTAAGTGACTGTTGCTTCCACGTTGTATTTTGCAGAAACAGAGAAAGAGAGCTTATGCATGACAAGCAGGTTGTCTTTAATTTGGAGACAACCCAGAAGTTGTGTACATCTCCTGCTCTTTTGTTATATGCACACACCCGGCTCCAAAAGAGGGAGACAGATGTAGGCTCTAGCTGGGTAACTGTGTGTCCAGCTAAAACTCTTATGATGGAAGAAGGGGAGAGTGGATTTGGGGGACAATCAGCTACTTGCCACACTCAACTTGATCTTACCTTTCTTCATAGGAAACCATGACTTCTCAGTAACATTACTGTTTTCTACTTCCTGTATTCCTGCTAGGCTTCTTCTCCAGCCTGGCCCTGAAATTGTGCAGATTTTATTGCCACAGACGCCAAAAGTTTCTGTCGCTATACTGATTTGGACAGAGTTGCTGCAGGTATGCAGTCGCATTCTTAGTGGGAAGCGAAAGCCCCAATATCTAATGTAAGGTCTTTTCATGGTGACAGAAGTGGCCGGCAAGGAAGAGCAAGGCCATTGTAGAAGTTTGTCCATCATGGAAGGAATAGGGCAGGACCATTCATCTTTTACCCAAAGTGTCCTTGTTCTAAGGCTAACCTCCAGGTCTTGCCTTTCAACCACAGATCCTGAAAGCAGGCTTGAGGAGCCTTTGGTGAATCATCTGATGAAGTTATTCTGCTCTCTGAAGGGAATGGCTTGGAGGTAAACTCCAAATCAGTAGCACTTTGGATGAGGTGGCTTGGAAATGGTCATGTGGTCTGCTCTGCCACTAGGTCTTCAGTTTAGAGTTGTTCCCAGGACTTCAGCTTCCTGACTCATCTCGGTCGAGGAATGTGGTTTGAAGACA